ATGCCTTTTTATCATCCTTGTTTGTATCTATGCCACGCCTGTAAAAGATTCCAAGATTAAGCTGTCCATCCGAATTACCGCCTTCAGCAGATTTCAAATACCACTTAAGTGCCATTTGTTCATTCTTATTTGTACCTATGCCATTTTCATAGCAAAATCCAAGATTATTTTGTCCATCTGAATTGCCACCTTCAGCAGATTTCAAATACCACTCAAATGCCTTCTTTTCATCTTTGTCAGTGACTATGCCATTTTGATAAAATATTCCAACTTCAAATTGTCCATTCGAATTACCACCTTCAGCAGATTTTAAATACCACTCAAATGCCTTTTTATTATCCTTGTTTGTGCCCATGCCACGCTTGTAAAAGATTCCAAGATTAAATTGTCCATCCGAATTGCCGCCTTCAGCAGATTTCAAATACCACTTAAATGCCATTTGTTCATCCTTATTTGTACCTATGCCATTTTCATAACAAAGCCCAAGTTTATTTTGCCCATCTGAATTGCCACCTTCAGTGGATTTCAAATACCACTCAAATGCCTTATTTTCATTCTTGACTGTACCTATGCCATTTTGATAGCAGTATCCAACATTGAATTGTCTTTTCGAATTCCCTTGTTCGGCCGATTTCAAAAACCATTTAAATGTTTCTTTCTTATCAGATTTTAAATACCATTCAAATGCTTTTTTTTCATCCTTGGCTGTACCTATGCCTTTTTGATAGCAGAACCCAATATTAAATTGTGCATTCAAGTTACCACCTTTAGCAGATTTCAAATACCACTTAAATGCTTTTTTTTCATCCTTATTTGTACCTATGCCAGTTTCATAGCAAAATCCAAGATTAAGCTGTCCATTCGAATTGCCACCTTCAGCAGATTCCAAATACCACTCAATTGCCTTTTTTTCATCTTTGTCTGTGCCTATGCCATTTTGATAGAAGAATCCAAGATTATTTTGTCCATCTGAATCGTTGCCTTCAGCAGATTTCAAATACCACTCAAATGCCTTTTTTTCATCTTTATCTGTGCCTATGCCATTTTGATAGCAGAATCCAACAATGAATTGTCTTTTCGAATTACTATATTCGGCTGATTTCAAAAACCATTCAAATGCCTTTTTTTTATCTGACTTTAAATACCATTTGAATGCCTTTTTTTCATTCTTGACTGTGCATATGCCTTTTTGATAGCAGAATCCAATATTGAATTGTCCTTTCGAATTACCATTTTTAGCAGATTTCAAATACCATTCAAATGCCTTTTTTTCATCTTTAATTGTACCTATGCCATTTTCATAGCAAAATCCAAGAGTAAGTTGTCCATTTGAATTGCCATTTTCAGCAGATTTTAAATACCACTCAAATGCCGTTTTTTCATCCTTGTCTGTGCCTATGCCATTTTGATAGCAGATTCCAAGATTATTTTGTCCATCTGAATCGTTGCCTTCAGCTGATTTCAAATACCATTCAAATGCCTTTTTTTCATCCTTATTTGTGCCTATACCATGTCTGTAACAGATTCCAAGATTAAGTTGTCCATTCGAATTGCCACCTTCAGCAGATTTCAAATACCATTCAAATGCCTTGTTTTCATCCTTGCTTATACCTATGCCGTTTTGATAGCAGATTCCAACTTCAACTTGTGAATTCAAATCGCCACCTTCAGCAGACTTCAAATACAACACAAATGCCTGTTTTTCATCCTTGTCTGTGCCTATGCCATTTTGATAGCAGTATCCAACATTGAGTTGTCTTTTCGAATTATCATGTTCAGCCGATTTTAAAAACCACCATGTTTCCTTTTTATCAGATTTTAAATACCACTCGAATGCCTTTTTTTTATCCTTGGCTGTACCTATGCCATTTTGATAGCAGAATCCGAGATTGAATTTTCCTTTCGTATTACCACTTTTAGCAGATTTTAAATACCATTTAAATGCCTTTTCCTCATCTTTATCTGTGCCTATTCCATGTTGATAACACCATCCAACATTAAGTTGTCCATCCGAATTGCCACCTTCAGCAGATTTTAAATACCACTCCAATGCCTTTTTTTCGTCCTTGTTTGTACCTATGCCATGTTTGTAACAGATTCCAAGATTAAGTTTCCCATTCGAATTGCCACCTTCAGCAGATTTCAAATACCATTCAAATGCCTTTTTTTCATCCTTGACCGTACCTATACAATTTTGATAGCAGATTCCAATATTAAATTGTCCATTTAAATTGCCACTTTCAGCAGATTTCAAATACCAATCAAAAGCCTTTTTTTCATTTTTAGTTGTACCTACACCATTTTTGTAGCAGGAACCAAGGTTATATTGTCCTTGAGAATTACCACCCTTAGCAGACATCCAATACCACGCAAATGCTTGTTCTTCATCCTTATCTATACCTATGCCATATTTATAGCAGTCTCCAAGATTACATCGTCCATTTAAGTTGCCGCCTTTAGCAGATTTTAGATACCAATCAAACGCCTTTTTTTTATTCTTAGCTGTACCTATACCATTTTTGTAGCAGAATCCGAGATTAAACTGTCCTTGAGAATTACTACCTTTAGCAGATATTAAATACCACTCAAATGCTTCTTTTTCATTCTTTTCAGTACCTATTCCGTTTTGAAAACAAAACCCAAGATTACATTGTCCTTGAGGATTGCCACCTTTGGCGGATTTTGAATACCATTCGAATGCTTTCTTTTCATTCTTCTTAGTGCCTACACCATTTTGGAAACAAAACCCAAGATTACATTTTCCTCGAGAATTACCACCTTTGGCAGATTTTAAATACCATTCAAATGCTTTCTTTTCATTCTTCACAGTGCCTACGCCATTTTGGTAGCAGAATCCAGCATTGAATTGTCCTTCCGAATTGCCCCCTTCAGCAGATCTCAAATACCACTCGAATGCCGTTTCTTCATCCTTGACTGCGCCCATACCATTTTTGTAGCAGTTTCCAAGATTACATTGTTCATAAGAATTACCATCTTCAGCAGATTTCAAATACCGCATAAATATTTTTTCTGCATTATGTTGTTTAAGACTAAAGTTAATGGGAATAAAACGAAATGTAATTGTAACTATTCGTATTATTCTACTCAATTCCTAAATTGACAAAATAAAATGAAATAGAATAGTAAATATACATGAATTTAAATTGTTTTAAGTACTTAAAATAATAATCAACTTTTATACTCACATAAACTAAATTAACACGAATACTTCATGAACTTGAATGGCCTATTTAATACTTAAATTAATAATATTCTTTATACTCACCACCTAAGTTAATATGAATAATATAAATTAAACAGTAAATATTTATGGACTATACTAGCTTATTTTACGAACTTGTTTTGCTGTTTTGAATTCAATCTATTAATAAAGGGTCTTATACTCACAAGCTTAATAAAATTATTAGTGTGAAGGATAATTTCATATGTAATTGTAAATAAGTGTTTATGATCATGTTTGGTGAACTCGTTCTGCTGTTCATTAATAAAATATGCTTTGTACTCACTCATTGAATAAATGATTGCTGCGAATGAAATGATTTGTGCGTAGTAGTAAATAAGTATTTTTGTTCTTTTTTGCTGCAAAAAATTCAGTTACAGAACTTACCGACTATTGAGTTGACATAATATGTGGTTAAGGTAATGCTAGCTTATATTAATTTTATCATGATTATTGTAAAAAATTCAGTTACAGAACTTACCGACTATTGTGATAACACAGTATGTGACTAAGTAATGTATTAATATTATCGTGATTTTATCATCATCTACTGTAAAATATTCAGTTGCAAAACTTACCGACTATTGTGATGACACAAGTAAATATTAGGATGTACTAAATATAACGAAATGTTATAAGTATCATAATATATTAATAAAAGTACTCTTAATTAAGGATTGAAACCGTTTAACATATAAAATCCAATACACTTTGTATTATTTACATAACACTCCGTTTCTGGCATAAAAGATCCTACAATTTTTGGTTAAATTATGTTGATCATTGGTCAAAGTTTATCGATAATGTTATTAATGCCGGTTAATTAACGATTAAAAGAATTTTAGGTACGTAGTTCCAATCCCTACTATAAACATAGTGTATTGGGTTCTTAGTTATTTCATAAATTTTAATTGCTGAATTACCTCTATGTTTATGTTGATTTTTAATCTAAATATTAATTAGGATAAATAGAACTTGAATAATAATAACAAAAGAATAATAACTAGCAAAGTTCCACATTATTGCATGTCTCATTTCGATGCGATAATGCAAAATTGCGGCAGTATAAATCATAATACAAAGCTATAATGCCGTAATTTAATAATTTTGCCGTCAATTGTAAAACCAATATTTGCATAAAACTTACCAAGTTACGGTGCAAAATTTCATTTTTATGAAGAAAACGAAGACCACATGTGATATGTCGAGCAATGTCAGCTTTTTGATCCCACTCTAAGCGGTTTTGAATTAAATAATCGTGTAAGTCACCTTTATCTGCGTATTCCACTAGGAAAAACTTTTCCTCATTAGAAAGTGCTAAATATAACGAAAGGCTATAAGTATTATAATATATTAATAAAGGTACTATTAATTAAGGATTGGAACCGTTTAGCATATAACAACCAATACACTTTGTGTTATTTACATAACACTCCGTTTTCTGACATAAAATGATCCCACAATTTTGGTCAAATTATGTCAAAGTTTATCGATAATGCTATTAATGTCAGTTGAATTAACAATTTAAGATTTTAGGTTCGTAGTTCCAATCCCTACTATAAACATAGTTTACATACAATTTTTTTCCGAATTCAGACTAAAGTTAGTAATGAAAAAAAAAACTTTTATATTTAGCATCTATTAGACTGTATTTGAGTGATCATGTAATTTCGTCATACCGTGATATGCCCAAAAACTCAATGATATATTTGTGATCTGTATCATTTATTTTATTATTTATAGAACGAAACGCTTTAATCTACACATATTTAATACAAATATCAAGAGTTAGTGTACGTTTAAAGAAATGAAGAGATAGTAAGCCAATTTTTACCTCTTTAACAAGCTCTTCATGTTCAGATTCTTCTATTCTTGATACTTCAGGCAAAATTTGTTTTAAGACTACGGCCCTATTCTTTGTCGTCCAAAAAGCTTTCTGAATAATGCTTGAACTTCCAGTTGTAAGAGATCTAGAATTCTCAAACTCTTCATAATTAATTGAATTAATATAATTTTTTGCTTCATCCATCGCCCTTTTAATCCAATTTCTTCTAGATTTACCATCATGTCCAGCATGTCCAATAAGTGAAATCCCACTGAGAAGGGGATTGGGTTCTGACAACATATCTGACAGCATAATTTTCAAAAGAAAAAAAAAAAAAATCTGAAATTAAGTTTTGTGCAAATATTCGAAATGCAATATATTAAATCTTAATGCGACATATAGAACTTGATTCACGTAAATGCAACATATAAATCTTAATGCACTAGAAATCTGTGTAACACAAACCCCAACAAAAATCATGATATAAGTACGTACGTACTACGAGATTTACTTATTTGTGCGAGTGATACAAACCCAAAAAAGGAAATTCAACGTAAAAATAAACTAAGTTCGTAATAATAAAAATTTAGGGTTAGAACGCTAAAGTTAGATGCTATAGAAATAAACATTTACCTCCTATATGTAAAATTTCATTTTCGCTTCGCTCACGTGTCGGGCTGATCCGGAATAATCACATTTTATGTTCTCCGATTGGCTAATTTCCCTTTTTGGATTTGTATCACTCGCACAAATAAGTGCACGCCGTACGAGCATAGAGGAAATTCGCATTTTGAAACCCCTGTAGATACCCACAAAAAATTTTCCGGCACGTGACTAAGCCACTTCACTAATTTCTGCGAGATATAATTAACGTTGAGGCTAATGTTGACGCCAACGTTCACCTCAACGTTGACCTCAACGTTGACGTGAACGTTAAGGTGAACATTAAGGTCAACGTTGAGATGAACATTGACATGAACGTTGACATGAACGTTAAGGTGAACGTTAAGGTCAATGTTGAGGCGAACATTGACATAAATGTTAAGGTCAACGTTGAGATGAATGTTGATGTGAACGTTAAGGTCAACGTTGAGGTGAATGTTGACATGAATGTTAAGGTGAACATTAAGGTCAACGTTGAGGTGAATATTGATGTGAATGTTAAGGTCAATGTTGAGGTAAACATTGACATGAATGTTAAGGTGAACATTCATGTCAATGTTGAGGTTAACATTGAGGTCAACATTAAGGTCAATGTTGAGGTGAACATTGAGGTTAATGTTGACATGAACATTCACATTAACATTCATGTCAACGTTGAGGTGAACATTGAGATGAATGTTGACATGAATATTCACCTTAACATTCATGTCAATGTTCATCTTAACATTGACCTTAATGTTTACATCAATGTTGACTTTAACGTTCACCTCAATGTTGACCTTAACATTCATCTTAATGTTTATGTCAACATTCATCTCACATTTATATCAATATTCACATCAATGTTAACCTTAATGTTCACCTCAGCATTCACATCAACGTTGACCTTAACGTTCAAGAAAATACTATACATTTTATGTTTATTTAACTTTTTTTAATAATTTTATTATTATAATTATAATCACATACAAAATTATCTAATCTACAAAAGGACAACAAAAAAATAACAAAAGAATAGCAAAAGAACATCGAAAAAGTACTGAAAATATGTGAAAAAAATACTAAAAGAATGTTGAAGAATTTTGAAAGAAACACTGAAAAAATGTAGAAAAAGTGCCAAAAGAACAATGAAAAAGCATCTAAAAAATATAAAAGAAGCATCGAAAGAATAACAAAAAAAACACACAAATAACATTGAAAAAAACACTGAAATAATGTTGAAAAAAACACTGAAGGAACATCAAAAGAAGCACCGAAAAAAAAACATTAAAAAAGCACTAAAAGAACACAAAAAAAATACTAAAAAACATCAGAAGAAGGCTGAAAAAATGCTGAAAAAGACAATGAAAGAAGCACTAAAAGAATGTTGAAAGAAGATACCAAAAAATTGATAAAAAGGCATTGAAGAAACAACAAAAAAGATATTGAAAAAACAGTAAAAAACCACCAAAAGAACATTAAGAAAAAATACCGAAGAAACAACAAAAAAATGCTGAAAAAATGTTAAAAAAACAACATAAAAGGCATATAAAATTATTGAAAAAACATGTAAAAAGTATACAAAAAAAAATATACCAAAATAACAACATAAGAAGCACTGAAAGAACAACATAAAGGGTACCAAAAGAATGTATAAAGACCACCAAAAGAACATCATAAAGATTAATAAAAGAATATTGTAAAGATCAATAAAAGAACATCATAAAAAATACTGAAAAAAAACAAAAAAACATTTAGCTAATTGTATTAAATAGTAAAATGAAAAATGCATGATGTAGTGTAAAATTGTAACAGTAATCACATGCCAAAAAAAATTTTGTGGGTTAATTACTAGATATGCATTTTGATGGAAAATCATGGGTTATAACAATTATATGATTGGCTAATTTATATAGAACTATTGACCAATCAAATCAAATTAATTTTTTTCAATATGCGAAATGAAGCAAAATAAATTTATTAATAATAAAAGTAAAGGTTTTTTAAAGCTAAAGTAATTCTAATCCATCTTTTAACTATTATACTTTACCAAAAATATGCTATTATATGGTGATAAATGGATCGTAAAATTGCTGGTTTTTAGACTACAATCATATATCAAATTTTTAATTGCTTATATAAATAGTTTGTATAACAATATGTTCAGAATTTATCAGATATAAGTTTCTTTTATACTAGTAAATCTAAAGAAGCTAAAAATAATTTGAAGATAATAGAAATCTAGTTTTTTATATACAAATACTTTAGCTTTTAATTTACAAAATTTTTTTAATAAAAATATTAATAATTTTGCTTTTAATTTATATTAGTTTTTATATATCATAAAGTAAAATAAAAAATAAAATTTTAAATAAAATAAATTAAATCAATATTAATGTTATAATAATAAAGTATAAAAATAAAAATAAAAATAATTGAAAAATTTTTGAAAATTTTTGAAAAATATTGTAATTATAAAAATTAATAATATTTGATTTATCAATTTATTTGATTGTCTGATTTATTGTGTAATTTAATCGATAATCCACCTATTAACTAAAGAATAGGTGAAATGTGATATCCTCTATCTAAAACTTTTTTCTTACTAAGTTAATGATACATGCCTATTAATTGAAAGTTGTATAGCTCATCAAGACACATCTAATGGTAGTTAGATCATCCAAATCAGCCTACTGAATGGTGAGATATCATCGAAAAACAATTGGCTGACTATATAAAAATTCGTAATGGAAATTATATATAAAAATCACTATTGGTGAAATGTGGCGTGCTTTCATCTAAAACTTTTTTTCTTACTAAGTTAATAATATATTCTCACTAATTGAAAGTTGTAAAGCTCATCAAGACGCATCTAATGGTAGTTAGATCATAAAATCTCTATGTAAACAATGTTTGTTTATATAGAGATTTTATATAGTAGGCCAATTGTTTTTCGATGATATCTCACTATCTACTAGGCCGATTTGGATGATCTAACTACCATTAGATGCATCTCGACGAGCTCTACAACTTTCAATTAATGGAAATGTATTATTAACTTAGTAAAAAAAAGTTTTAGATGAAAACTAGAGTTCTGCATATGCTTATGCCAAGCATCTTAGACACCATGCCAGGCACTAATACCTATGGCATACCCGTGCCATAGGCACAAAAGTGCCAGCTTAAAAAAGTGCCAGACATTTTAGTGCCATACTTAAGAAAGTGTCTAGCACTTGTATAATGTGCCTAGCACTTTAGGCCTGGCTACGTTCTAGTACTTTTAAGCCAAAAACAAAAAAAAAACGAAATCAGACACAAAAGTGCCAGGCACAAAGTACCTATAGGCAAAAAAATGCCAGGCATTTTTATTCTAAACAAAAATGTGTCTATGCTTATGCCCATGCCAGTGCCTTAAAATTTTTTGTTAGGCATGGGCACATGCCAGGTTGCAGATCCCTAATGGAAACATGCCATATTTCACTAATAGTGATTTTTATATATAATGTCTGTTATGAATTTTTATATAGTCGACCAATTATATTTCGATGAAATCTCACTATTCAGTAGGCTGATTTGGATAATCTAACCACCGTTAGATGAGTTTTGATGACCTCTATAATCTTTCAATTAATGGACATGTATCATTAACTTAGTAAGAAAAAAAGTTTTAAATGAAGGATGTTATATTTTACCTATTCTTTAATTGATAGGCAGATTATCAATTAAATTAGTTTGTAATTTTTTACATTTTTTAAAATTTTTCAAAAATTTTTGAAATTATTTGCAATTTTATAAATTGTTATTATAATTTTTTTTCAAAATTTTTTGCAATATTTTTCATAATATTTCAAAAATTTTTCAAAATTTTTCAAAATTTTAATTTTTAAAATTTTTCGCAGTAATTTTTAAAAAATTTTAGCACAAAAATTTTTTTAAAAATTTTCATATATATTTTTTGTTGATGTTGCTACTCTAATCTGAAGATATATTATCCCTTAAACTGTCTGTTTTGGTAGGCAAATTTGCCTTTTAAAATCGTTAGAGAAAAATTTCATGAGGCAAAAAAAATTTTTTATGCGAATCTTGACTAAATAGGCTAGAACAACTCCAGAAGGCATGGATTACATAACGAACCATAAAATTCTGGTATTGAATATGTTGCGTAACAAAAACAAATTACACAAAATCAAGTCATACAGAACATATATTGTTAATATCACAAATTTTTTTTGTAACACGAATTATTAGATCTTTTGAGCAAATTAAAGTATCACATGCTTAAACGAAGTTAATTATATAGTCATAACCTTTACATTATATATTAATTCCATTTAAGATAAGGGTCCTGGTGATACAAAATTAAATTTTTAGATCATCAATTTTTTGTAATTTTGTTCATCAAAATTAACATTTTTGAGATTTTGGTCATATGATGTTTAGTGCTGTCATAATATTGTAAAGATCAGTTAATTGATAAATTAAAGATATGTAAAATTAAAGCACAAATAAATAAATAAATAAATAAATTTTTTTTTTTAATTCTTTATTTTTGGTTTGCAGAACTGTTTTGTCCACCCACCCACCCAGCTAATATTAGCTTTGGCCATAAGGCCGGTTCGCTCACCCACCCACCCAGCTAATATTAGTTTTGGCCCATAAGGCCAGTTTGC